CAGTGGGTAAAAATGTCTCATGTGCGGTTTTGTTTATTGGTTTAGTACTGTGTTGTCTGGTTAATACACCTGGTGTATGTAAATTTTATTCATGCAGTAGTCAATAATAAATAAAAGACGTAAAATTGACAAAGCAAAAATCTATGGATATCTTGAAATACCTTGTTTATCTGTGTATCATTGAAGGTTATGTGACATACTTTAGTTTGAAGTATACAATAATAGCAAGACAAAATAAAAAGCTAGAGTTTTTTTTTGCTTTATGGGATGGGTTTATTGCCTTGATGTACATGTGCGTATATAATTAGATAAAAAACTACATATCATTACATAGTTTGTTGAAATATCTGAGAGAAGAACTCCTGCATTCTCCTCTCAATTGTCAGTTCAAACCAAAATCGAATAACAACAATCGTAAGATTTGCTTAGTAGTTTTTTATGCGTATTTGTGCGTGTGTATGTCTATATTTGTGCAAATATCAGTTCAAATCGAAGACGAGAAGAAAAAGTCAATAAATATTCACATTCCGTATTTAGTGTGATTTTTTGGAGAGGGAGCTGTTTGATTTTTTGATATTCCATTCTAGACGCTGATATTTTTCAGTTTGGTTTTCGTAAGTGTCGATTTGAATACGTTTTGTAACTTTCGGCTAAAACTCTTTCGATAATAATTTGAAATCAATGTTCATGATAAGACTCAGTTTATCGATCAAGTTATGTTTTGTCATTTTTCCTGCATCTAGCTACGAAGAGTTTTTTCTTGAAATTGTCAACTAAATTAATTTCTTCTGTCTGTTAACAGGATTGCAATTATTAAATCAGCCGTTGGAATAAAGCCCTGGACAGATTAGAAGACCCCCCGGAATAGAAGACCCCCCTTGAGAGAGCGAAGCAAAAGACAGATTAGAAGACCCCCCTTATAAGTAGTTGTTTTTCTGAGAATTTTTCGATTTTTTTTGCTTTTTTACATATGTGCACGTGTCTGTTTTTTCATCATATGTTTCTTTCCTTTCTGTCATCTACTACTAAGAGCGGAGAAAGATGATTAATACATGTATGCGTCTGTCTATCCAAGTTGTTTCGAATTAGTTCAATCTGAAGTATGTGACGAAAAGCATGATTCAGATCGGCCTGAACATACTAAAACTATGGTGACTAGAACTCAAACTAAACAGTTGTCGTTAAAAAATATGTGGAAAAAACATTGAATGTATTATTTTTCATCTCGTTGTCTAGCAAAAGGACAGTGAAAACGTTTTTTTTTATATTGTACGGTGTAATGTATGCTTTATTGTATTAAGCAAGAATATTTCTATTATGAACTGTGTATTTTATTTCTATGTACTCAAGCATATCACCGGACTTCGAAATTTTCAAATGCGATTAGAGTCCGGGAGATCTCCCGGACTCTAATCGCATTTGAAAATTTCGAAGTCCGGTGATATGCATTTCTTGTTTGGTAATTGTACAATTGAAAGGATCGATGAAATAAGTGCCATTGCACATGAAATAATAAGCAAAAAATTGTTGAAAATGACATTAACTGCTAAGGACACTGAAAAAATAACACTTCTCTAAGGGACACAATAGAAGACCCTCCTAAAATGTGTGAATGATAGGACGGAATAGAAGACCCCGGGTCTTCTAATCTGTCGAGGGCTTTAGGTCAGAATTGGTCGATTTTGTATAGAACCAGAGGTTTTCACTGACTCTAACCAATTTCATCGACTGATTCACTAATTTTAATCCTATTAACAGATAGATGAAACGAAACTGAGTTTGTTTGAAACAAAAACTTGGTAGAAATTTGGATTCTTTATTTTTCGTCTCATGGTCAGACTAATGAATTTTAATTTATTGTCAGATTTATACACTTCGTATTTATAAACGTTCAGTTTTAAAAGAATTTTATCTTAAAAAAAATGGAAAATAGTATACAGTCAATATCAGCCATTAAAGATAAGTCACGACCTGTTATCTTATAATGCTGCTCAATCGACCATCTCAGATTTCTTCCATAGTAAGGGCTTCTTTAGAGCAAACAGTTTCATGAATTTTGCCGAAAACCTCAGATCCTAAAGCAGTTGCGTTGCTGAGATGTTCCTGTTTTGCGAAGAGCGCAGAAACGCACAAATTCCAACATCTAAGGAAACTATCAATGTAAAGTACGTTCCACTCCATAACAACACATTACTTAGACTTTTGAATTCCATCCTAACTACTAGATAGTGTCTACTACAAATTCACACAATCGCGAGCTCCAGACATAGATTCGTTCTTTTACAGTAGATGATGCCGTGAGAGCCGAAATCATCGCTTGGGTCATTTTGGAGAAAGATTTTCTCCCGGAAAATCGGGCGAATTTCTCCCCCCCTCCCTACGATACTGTTGAAGTACACCAATTCACAATTTAGATTCTTTATTTTTCGTTCAAATATAAAGCGTTCTCCTATAAAGCGTAAATATGTTGACTGTGTAAAGAACTTAAAATAAAAATTCATTTTGGGACCAATGCGTGGTTAGAAGTTAGAATACTTTAAAATATTATTCTCGAAGATGATAATAAAAATTTTCGACAAGTTCGAGAAAAGCAAAATAGTTTATTTGACAGCCGACGGTTGAACGATTGAGAGAAGGATCGGATATGCAAAGATAAAATTGCCGTTCACTCATTTTGGGTACAGTCTATAACTAAAATGAATAGTCATCTTGATTGCATCACACAGCTGTTAGAATACACAAAAAATGTGTAAGATGAAATGTACTGCATGAATATATTGTTATAGTGTAAGTTAAAACTGGGCTGATCCTGACACTCGAGACGTATTAGTTTTCATGCTTTTCATACTATTCTACTTTTCACAGTTTTTATCGCTTTCATACTTTTCAACTTTTCATGCGTTTCAATCTTTACTGCTTTCCATACTTTTGGTGGCTTTCATACTCTTCATCTGTCTTTCACACTTTTCATTCCATGAAAGGGAATGAAAACTATGATAACCATGAAAGGGAATGAAAACTATGATAAGTATAAAGGCGATGAAAAGTACGAAAAGTAGAAAACTGTCACAGCGATGAAAAGTATGAAAGCGATGAGAAGTACGAAAGGTAGAAAACTGGGAGAGCGATGAAAAGTATGAAAACGATGAATCCGTTTCAATCTTATCTAATTTTCATACTTTTGGTGGCTTTCATACTCTTCATCTGTCTTTCACACTTTTCATTCCATGAAAGGGAATGAAAACTATGATAAGTATGAAAGCAATGAAAAGTACGAAAAGTAGAAAACTGTGACAGCGATGAAAAGTATGAAAGAGACGAAAACTGTGAAAAGATGAAAAGTATGAAAGCTAACAAAGGCAGCTGGAAAATATGAAAGGTATGAAAGCGGATGACCCGCATGAAAGCGATGAATGGTATGAAAACTAAGAATAGTTTGAAAAGTATGAAAGCGATGAAACGGATGAAAACTATCAATAGTATGAAAGCGATGAAAAGCATGTAAAGTTGACTAGTATGAAAAGTGGGAAGGCTGTGAAATGGATGAAAAGTAGAAAAAAGAGTAGAAAAGTAGAAGGAAAACTAGGAAAAAGACTGCTGGCGCATCTTCGTAGAGAAAAGTACTTTACACATTTTTTGTGTATTCTAACAGCCGAGGGCTGTTAGCATAGGAAGGACTCTGACGTCCTTAGGAACGTGTCTAACTACGTTTCTTATAGCCATGCACTTTATTTGTGTTCAGCTGATGTGTGCAGTTGGAGAAAGAAAAAATCCGAAGTTTCATCATAAGAACTATGTTTTATATATACTATATATCGTTGCAAAATTGGAGAATTTTTCGTTTTCCGGACCTGTTCAGTATTTTGCATTTTTCTTTTCGAAAACCGCACACATCAGCTGAACACAAATAAAGTGCATGGCTGTAAGAAACGTAGTTAGACACATTCCTAAGGACGTCAGAGTCCTTCCTATGCTCGAAAATATTATCAAAAGAAAAAAGGAGTAATTAAGTGCCAGGTACCATCACTTGTACTAGTGTAGCAAATATCAGCCAACGAAGTTGACACATTAGTGATGACTTACTAGAAGAAAATTCGTAAAATTTTATCATAGAACTATATCACATTTATTTATTATCTATCTGCAAAACAAAAGGCGAATGGGGAGTTGGTAGGGACTCCCCAGAAATTGCACATTTTGGGGACTCCCCAGGGAGTCTGAGGGTGACTCCTCGGAGTTTAGGCATTTTCGGAGATTTTCTTAGAGAGAGTCGATTAGGGTAGTTGCAAAGACATTTACGTCCTTTGAATTAACTCCCCTCATGAATTTTCCTCGAACATACTGGAACTGCCCGAACTGAAAACTTAACAATGATTATACACAGTGTTGATTTATTAACAATTTCTTAGTTCAGCTCTAAAAATTTTTATTTGACATGATGCAAGAGGGCTGTTAGAATACACAAAAAATGTGTAAAGTACTTTTCTCTACGAAGATGCGCCAGCAGTCTTTTTCCTAGTTTTCCTTCTACTTTTCTACTCTTTTTTCTACTTTTCATACTTTTCATCCATTTCACAGCCTTCCCACTTTTCATACTAGTCAACTTTACATGCTTTTTATCGCTCTCATACGTTTCATCGCTTTCATACTTTTCATAGTTTTCATACCATTCATCGCTTTCATGCGAGTCATCCGCTTTCATACCTTTCATTGCTTTCATATTTTTCAGCTACCTTTGTCAGCTTTCATACTTTTCATCTTTTCACAGTTTTCGTCTCTTTCATACTTTTCATTCCCTTTCATGGAATGAAAAGTGTGAAAGACAGATGAAGAGTATGAAAGCCACCAAAAGTATTCCAAAATAATTTGTTCAGAAAACTAGCACCGAATGTGAGGCAAATGTAGATATCAAAACTGATAAAATCACAAAGGCCAACGAGAAAGGGATGCTGCCAGATTTCGGTCGTAACATTACACTTTCTTTCTCCTTGCCTTTCAGAATGACAGACCAAAAAGCTATTGAACTGCCAGCGCTCGGTCGTCCCTTTCGCCTTGGCATGCTATACAATCTTCGACAAGATTCTCTGATACCAGGAGTGCGACTCTGGCGCTCAGAAGTCACGGAAAAAAATACACGAAAAACTTCTCAAATCTCCACCAATTATGAAATCATTACTAACGATTCGCTTCAAGAAAAGACAAAACGATTAGGAGTGAAAGGCAGCTTAAAGCTAAGTGTACTTGGAGGACTCGTCAATCTTTCTGGATCTGCTGAATATGCCTCCGATCAGCAAAAATCAGAACATCAAACTCGTTTAACACTCAAATATTCGACAACAACATTTTTTGAAGAACTGAATGTTGGCGACCTTGGTGATGTAAAGTCGAATTATAGAGAACTAAGTGATGTTGCCGAAGCTACACATATTGTCGTTGCCATTCTTTACGGTGCAGAAGCATTCTTCGTCTTTGATCACAATTTGACGAACAGTGAAGATAAAACAACAGTTCAAGGTACCTTGGAAGCTGTTATTAAGAAAATACCAAAACTTGATACCGGCGCAAGTGCCAGCTTAGATATGAATAACAGTGAAAAGCGTCTTGCTGAAAACTTGAAATGCAAGTTTTATGGTGATTTTCGTTTCAGTGAAAATCCAAGCACATTTGCAGACGCCGTCCGAGTCTATAAAAATTTGCCGAAACTGCTAGGCGAAAAGTTTGAACATGCTGTGCCGAAAACCGTCTGGCTTCTTCCATTACAACTTCTGGATTCTAAAGCTGAGAGATTCCTGCGTGATATATCTTCAAATACTGTCAATTATTGTATGAAGCTAGTTGAACAATGTCATTCCCTGACTGTAAAAGCCACTGATTTGACCAAATCTTCTGTTTTTGAACATTTTTCTCAGCTGAAAGAAGAGCTGGACAAGTTTATCGAAAGTATCTCGACTTGTGAACGTAATATGAAAGGACAGATTGCAGATCTTCTCCCCGAAATTCGTGGTGGAAAACGTGAAGAAAAAGCTCTTTACGACTGTTTCTCGGCTACTGAAGCGTCACCATTCAACTATAAAACTCTTGAAAAATGGCTGGTTCAAAAAGCAAATGAAATCACATTCATTACCGACCTTACGGATGCGATCACAACAGCTCGTGGTTCTAAAGCAGGATCGAATATTCTTCCCAACGTTTCGTTTATTTCTTCTCCGCTCTCAACAATTCTCGGCAAAATTGGTTCTAACTATGTTCTTTGTCTTTCATTCCAGCTCAATGAAATAGATGAACCACAGTTAGCCAACATGAAAAATTATTTGCATAGTAATACAAAAGAAAGACAGCAACTCCGAAATGTATCGTCTCACGACTGGTTAAATGATTATGAAAATATTGCAAAAATTCGTTCTAATGTCTATCAATTTATTGAATTGGCTAAAGGTCATGTTAGCGATGATAAAATTAAATTTGTGGTTAACGAAAAATATCTACCAGGTGGTGAAAGACGAGTCAAAATAGTTCTGTTCAAAGAAGGTTTGCCGCAAGATGATTACAATGAATTGAAGAAAAATGCCGTGGCCATAAGTTGTAAGTTATGAGTGTAGTATACTTACATTGAGAGAGATCGGACTTTTTACTCACTCTACAATTAAGATACTTCGAAAGTGACATGATTCAAATTACAAATTCGTTTAGAGCGTTGTATTAAAACAATGGTGCTAGAGTTTTGACCCAGCATAGTAAAGGATCTGGAATCAAGATTCAGTTTTGCAATTTGCTTTCTAAAAATCATTATTCAGCAGAGAAAACAAGAAAACGCTGAAGAAGTTTTTTAGGAAAACAACTTGCGGCAAGAAAGTTTCTTTGAAAAGTTACAAACTCAAATGTTTGGAGTTCTTTTTTACAGGTGCAAGGATGATTTCTTTAGTTTTGAAGCTAATACTTAAATGTCGAGACCAAGAGAAAGTTTTTCTGCTGAGTGGACTCGCGTTTTTTATTTTGAACACTAGAATCCAAGGAGTTTAGCCCTTTCTATATTTGTTAAAAGTTTTACTCTAGAGACTGTATATCCAAGTTAGTTTCCTCTTTTCTTAACTGTAGCCTTGTCGAGTGTTGTAAAACAACTGGTCAAAAAACTAAAATCGAATGCAACCGATGATAGATATGGTACACTTGAGCTGAAAATCGAAAATCTATCTATGCAAGAGGCAACAGCAATCGGTGAAGCATTGAGTCTGAATTCGAGTGTCGAAAAACTGAACATCACGTCGAAAACCATTTCAATAGCATGCCTCGAAAAGATCGTCGGATCACTGAAGATAAATACAACGTTACACTCACTCTGGATCAGCGGAGATGAAGACGCTAATTATTTTATTCCAGTCTGTGCTCAGACATTGACTGACGTCTTCAAAGTAAACAGAAAGATTGAAGAACTATGGCTCAGTGCGACGGCCATAACAGATTATGATTTTATAATGTTGACAGATGAACTGAAGAAGAATGAGACAAATCTAGAGAAATTGTATCTCTATAGAAATCCTCAGCTGACCAGTGGGAGTGCTCGTTATCTAGGTGAACTGATTAGGGCAACAACAAAATTATCTCAGATTTCAATGTCCGGTGCAAATATTGATAGTCATTGGGCTACTGAAGTTGCTTCAGCATTAAAAGTGAATCGATCAGTGACCGTTCTGAGTCTGGACTTTTGCCAGATAGGTGATGATGGTGCAAAAGCTTTGGGTGAAATGTTGATGATGAACCGTAAGTTAAGTTGCTTGGAAGTGAAGAAAAATCAAATTACCGATGTTGGTGCTAAGGCTCTGGCAAGTGGTTTGAAACAAAATTCAACTTTGTTGCAACTTCGAGTGGGTGGAAATAACTTCTCGGCAGACAGCAAAGGCGGCAAAGAATTGCCCAGAAGAGTGGCACATTTTGAGTTTCTTGATCCAGAATTGCGAGATTCGAGTCTATTTTTTGACCTAAGTAGTGGATAAAATAAATTAAAGTAATAACTATGTGGAGAATTCAATTATCTATTTATTGTACGATGTTTTACCCGGTTTTTTCTTCGGGAACATGGTGCAGAAAGATAAAATATGTAACTCATGACTCTGCACAATCAACGGTGACGATAAGATCAAAACATCAGGTCGAACTAAAGTATTTCACATAGACATAATATGAATGTCAGAAAATGTTTTGAAGACCTTCTGGCAAAACAACTATGTGAGAGCGAAAACAGCTAATTAGAGCTATTTAGCGCCAAATTCGAATTTAGCGTGCGCGCTCAAGCCTGTTTCTCTCGCATTTGGCGGAAAAAATGTAATTAGGACTTTTGTTCAGTGATTATGCAAGGAATTCCACGTTTTTGCATTATTTTTGAGTAAGCGTTCTACGTAGAATTCTAGGCATGGTAGCCATCTTGAATTTCTATTGGTTAGTGTACAAAACGAATAAAATAAATCTAGGCAGACACCAGCGCTCTATAAATAAATTAAAAGGATCGGAGCTGAGCATTTCAGTATAGTAAGAGAAAAATATTCTGAATCGAACTGTCGATTCAGATTTTCCATACCGGCTCGCGGGCTGGGGTCCCATATCCAATATGCTGGAATTTAGGGTTTTAATGAGAGTGATTAGATAAAAACTCGAAATTAACATTGAATTTTAAAACAGTTTTCACTATAACTCCGTTAGATTTCACCCCTACTATTCAAAAGACAATCGCTTGTAATGAAAAGGTAAAAAAATCTGAGAAATAAATACTTGGCAGTTTACAAGAGCCAGATGTAATCTATAAGACCGAGCAATTTTTAGAACAACAAAAATGTCAAACTGATTGCCTCTGCTTCTTGTTCTATAGTATTCTTGACTTTTCTGTCTGCAGTTAAAAGAAAAAAAAATTTAAAGAGATTCTACAGCATAAACTATTGAACAAATCTGCCTTCTCCATTCGCGAAAAATTGATTCTAGTAGTTAGTTAGGTTGGGGACAATTTTGGTAAAAGAACTTAAAACCGGTTTGACATATTTTTTGACTAAAATCTTATCAAAATTCTTTCCAAATGAATGTTAAAAATCTATGCCTGCGTAGTATTTGAAATGTCGGTTAAGCTCTGTTTTGTACCAGAGCTCGTTCGCTTCCAGCATTGTTAATAACTTTCGATTTTGAACCACTCTTCACACCACAACATACGCCTTTTTATATGAGAACTGCAAGAGTTGCGGATTTAAAAAGTTTCACACATGTTTTAGAAAGGAAGGGTAAGGGAATTTAACATCTTGGTCGTGACAGATTGTAAAGCACACCCGAAAATAGAAGAATCGACATCAACAGTCTTGGAAAATTAGCACAAAAGGCGAAAGGTTAAAATTCTGTCTCACCCTTACCTGCTGTACTTTTAGAAACGATCATTAAGCTGACGCGCTCTCGTCAGGCAATTGGGCTTTTGCAGTATTTCTACTTCTGCACCAGTTGCGCTTTAATCTAGCTCAAGTCGTTCTTTGATCCTTTGTTCTCTTGGTTTATACGAAAAAAAAAATTAAAGCAGGCAAAATAAAGAAAAATGGAGTCTACCACACAGGCACAGCTCTACAAAATAAAAAACAAAATCAATCATGTCTCAACCTTTTCTGGAAATACCAATGAGACCATCAAAAAATAAAAATAAAAAGTCATGCACACGACAAACACACACACAGAGAGGAAGCAAGAAGTTTTGTTTGAAATGAATAAAATTAGAGAAACATATAATTATCATTGCGTATTGTCTATCACAAAATTACAGACTTTTTTTAAGAGAACAAACCAAAAGTTGAAAACTGTTCAAACGAAATACATCAATAGGGTCACGGTACTTTCGAAAGCTTGGACGCCATCCTCAGGCTACTGACAAAGCTACTCGCACGAATGACGGTTAGAACTTAGGCTGCAGCGGTATCTTGACTAGGAGTGGCGCTTTCGCGTTT